CATAACCCTAAAAAGAAAAAAATTTTTCTTTTTTCTGGGTTCTCAAAAATAGCCCGAGTTTGATTTCAAGGTTCCTTCACCACAGCGTTTCTAGCCCAAAGGACAAACAAAATCACCTGTTTGCTGATATTTGCAATTCTTCACTTAAGGCGGTGGTCGGCCAACTCTGGCAGCTCTTTAGCCCCTTGAGTGTGGGGTCACATGTACAGTGCGATTGAAACCTCATGGCCTGTGCACAGAAGTCGGTTTTCGGCTCTCAAAAGGAATTTCATTCGTTGTACTGTTGATATTTGACTCTGTTAGCTAATTAGTTTGCCGACCACTCACTTAATGGAACACTTTATTAGTATCTAGAAGACATGACATTGTCTCGTCCTTAATTGTATAGCACCAGCTCTGGGCATTGTCTATGGGTGGGCTTCAAGAGAGAATCTCCTGTATGGGTAACTTTTTGGCTCAAAAATTCAGATAATCCTTAACATACCTGTTTTTTAATTTATTATGGATTTCTCTGGTCAGCCATTACTAAGCGTTTATTTTCAAATTAACCGCACTATTGTGCATTGCATAAATCACCTTCTCTGAAGTGATTCCTTATCAGTCATCTTTTCCCTAGATTCTTCCCTCAAATTATCAATGTATTGTCTCCAGGTCCAAATCCACCTTTTGTCTTGCTTTGTGATTCGGGAGCAGGACTAAGAAAACATTTGTCAGCTGGCGCAATGTTAGACTTTGTCAGTAGGGGGCGCAGAAGGGACATTGCCAGAGGAAGGGGCTGCTCTTGAGTGTGGTTTTTGCTCTGGCAGAACCTTGACACAACAGCATATGGCTGGGCACCGAGGGGCACTCATGCTCCAGCAAGTGTTGCCAGCACACCTGCAGAGTCTCACGAGGACCTCAGAGGCTCTCAAAGGGCTGATTCTCAGTTAGTTCCACTGGGGCCCCAACAGGTGGTTTTCAACCAACCCTGGCTGGAGGCCCTTCAGCAAATTTCTCTGCCATTAAATAGGCACAGCCAGACCCTCTCTAATAGGGTTGGATATCCATGTTGTCCTTTTTCCAAGCCCTTTCTTTCCATGGCTGTTAGCCTCAGCTGTAAAGTTAGTTCTCTTTATTGCTAAGTTGTAACCCCCTGTTACTAGTTAACCTGTTAATAATTTAGTAGTTAATCCCTGCTGTTAAGTCATTATTAGATACTAATTCTTTATATTGAAATGTTCCGCTCAAATTACTGAGTGGTTTCTGTCTCCTGGCTAGACCCTGAGTGACATATCATCTCTTAGGTCAATCAGGTATTCTGCATAGGGTAGCTTCATTTTACACCAATATCAGGTTACTGACTTTTAAAATAAATCAACCTATCAGTTGTAATGTCAGGCATGAAAAGCCAAATTTGTAAGCTTGGTGATTCAGTTCATTAATGTTAATCAATTATGTATTATTTTGCAAAGGCCCATGAAGCAGGAAAATATCAGTCATTGAATTTTTGTTGTGGTGGCCTTTCTTAAACCCATTAACATCTATATATACAAAAGACTAATAAGTTTAATGTTCACCCATTGGACTGCTATGATGCACACTGACCACCAGGGGGCAGATGCTCAATGCAGGAAGTGCTGAGCTGCAGTGACTTGGCAGTGGTGGTTCTGGGGTGACACACCCCGAAACCAGAGAGGAGGCAGCCTGATTTTTCGCAGGACCATACCATTCCACCTTCAGCTATGGGTTATGTTGTTACTGGGGGCACTTTTGGCCCTGAATCTAGTTTACTGCACACTTGCATTTATGTTCCACACCCTGTAAAACAGCAACTTTGCAGAGTGACCTGTCGCACTCCGGGACCCCTGGGAAATGTCAGAGATCCAGTTTCGGCCTGATCCTGCAGGCCAGGCCAAGGGATCCCACCTGCCAGAAGGACCCTGCTCACTCCCCAGATGCTGGGGAGGGACCATAGGAGGTAGGCTCCAGGGTGTGTCCAGCCCATCTCACCCAGTCCCCTGCCACCATCTACCTTCTAATTAATTTCCTTTCAATGTGCACAAATTCGTGCATCGGGTCACTAGTTTATTATAATTGTGTTTCCAAGAAAATATTTTGAATATCAGTCTAAGAAATAAATTGCACACCTAAATAATTCAGTGTTTGGTGAAGTGTCTGGTATTAGAAATGGCCTCTGCTAATACCTGTAATTTAAAGCTTTGAAATAGTTTTTATTTCTGCCCTGCCCAGTTTGGCTCAATGGATAGAGCGTTGGCCTGCGGACAGAAGGGTCCCAGGTTCGATTCCTGGTCAGAGGCATGTGCCTTGGTTTGGAGCACATCCCCAGTGGGAAGTGTGCAGGAAGCAGCTAATCATGTTTCTCTCTCGTTGATGTTTCTGGCTCTCTATCCCTCTCCCTTCTTCTCTGTAAAACATCAATAAAATATATATATATTTTAAAAACTACACTTCTTTCAATTCACAAAATTGAATATCAGAACATTTGAGATTTTTAGGTTCTGTGCTGTCCTTTGTCAAGAATAACAAATAGAGCCAAAACCGGTTTGGCTCAGTGGATAGAGCATTGGCCTGCAGACTGAAAGGTCCCAGGTTCGATTCCGGTCAAGGGCATGTACCTTGGAAGCGGGTGTGCAAGAGGCAGTTGATCGATGATTCTCTCTCATCAGTGTTTCTAACTCTCTATCTCTCTTTCTTTCTGAAGAAAATCAATTTTATATATATATATATATGAATGACAAATAGAGAAAATATTTTCAAATTATATATCTGATAAGGATCTAATATCCAGAATATATTAAACATACAATTCAACAACAAAAGTCAAACAAGCCAATTAAAATGGACAAAGTATTAGAGTGGACATTTTCCAAAGAAGATATATACATGGCCACAAAGCACATGAAAAGATATTCAATATCATTTGTCATAAAAGAAATGCAAATCAACACCATATGAGATACAACCTCACACCTCCTGGGATGGATAGAATTAAACATAAATACACACACACAGAAAATAACTTGTGTTAGGGAGAATTCAGAGAAATTTGAATGCTGATACATTGCTGATAGGAATGTAAACGGTGCAGGCACTAGGGAAAGAGTTTGGCTGCTCTGCTCATCAATAATTAACATACGATTCAGCAAACCCATTCTTAGGTATAAACCCAAAAGAACTGAAAGCAAGTGTTCAAACAAATGTTTGTATGCAAATGTTCAGAGCAACACTATTCACAATAGCCAAAAGGTAGAAACAACCCAAATGCCCATCATCTGATGAATGCATGAGCAAAATGTGGCATAGCCACACAGTGGACTAGTATTCAGCTATACAAAAGGATGAAATACAGATACATACTCTAATGTAAATGAAGCTAGAAAACATTATGCTAAGTTAAAGAATCAGGCAAAAAGGGCCACATATTATATAGTTAGATTTGCGTAAACTATCCCAAATAGGAAAATCTATAGATTAGTCATTTTCAGGGACTGGAGGAAGGGATAGGGAGTGCTTGTTTAATGGGTATGGGGTTCACTTTTGGGGTAATGAGCATGTTCTAGATTTAGTAGTGACATTTGCACAATATTATGAATGTACTAAACACTATTGAATTGTACACCAAAATGACACAGTGGTGAATTCTGTATTGTATATATGTTACCACAGTAAAAAGATTGATTTTGAGAGGAAAGGAATTGGAGTTGGAAAACTTGAACAGTTCTTTTAAGTTTTGCTGTATGGGAAACTGAGAAATGGTGTAATAGCTGGAAGAAGATGTAGAGTGGAAGGAAAGTTTTTTGAAATTTTTGAAGGTAGTACTAACAGTATGGATCTGGACAATGCCCAACCATCTGAGCCACACCAACCAAGGCCAAATTAGGGCTTTGTAATCCCATGACCTTTTTTTTTTAACCCCTCCCCTCTGGTCTCCATAAGTCTTTTCTTTGCATCTATATGTCTGTTTCTATTTTGTTTGTTCAATTTTTTTGTTCTTTAAATATATATTTTTTTTATTTTTTACAGAGAGGAAGAGAGAGGGATAGAGAGTCAGAAACATCGATGAGAGAGAGACATCGATCAGCTGCCTCCTGCATACCCCCTACTGGGGATGTGCCCGCAATCAAGGTACATGCCCTTGACCGAAATCAAACCTGGGACCTTTTAATCCACAGGCCGACACTCTATCCACTGAGCCAAATTGGTTTTGGCTTTTTTGTTCTTTAGATTGTACATATCAGTGATATCATATGTATTTGTCTTTTACTGTCTGAATTATTTCACTTAGCATAATACCCCCTAGGTCCATCCATGCTGTTACAAATGGTAAGATTTCATTTTTTTTATTGTCTACTAGTATTCCATCATATGTATAATTTTTATCCACGTATATTAATGGACACTTGCTTTGCTTACATATTTCTGCAATGTAAGTAATGCTGCCATGACCATGGGAGTGCATATATTCTTTCAAATTACTGTTTTGGGTTTCTTCAGATATGTACCCAGAAATGGAATCCCTGGGTCATAAGGCAGTTCCTTTTAGTTTTGAAGGAACTGCTCACTGTTTTCCATAGTAGTTGCACCAATCTGCATTTCCAACAACAGTGCAGTAAGGTTCCCTTTCTCTACAACTTTGCCAACACTTGTTGTTTATTGATGATAGCTTCCTGACAGGTGTGAGGTGGTATCTCATTGTGATTTTGATTTGCACTTCTCTGAAGATTAGTGATGTTGAGCAACTTTTCCTATGTCAATTGGCCATCAGTAGTTTCTCTTTGGAGAAGTGTTTATTCAGGTCTTCTGCCCACTTTTTAATTGAATTGTTAGTTTTTCTGGTGTTGAGTTATCTGAGTTCTTTATAAATTTTGAATACTGATTTATCAGAGGTATCCTTGGTCACTATGTTCTCCCATTCAGTAAGTTGTCTTTTCTTTTTTCTTTTTTTGACATTTTTCTAACAAGTATTGTATTTATTGTTAGTTAAGCTGTATTCAGGATTCTAGAGTGGGACATTCCCAGGTCCCCCCTCACCTTCCTGGGAGAAGGATGGATGGCAGAGGACAGGGGTGCATTCAGTTCAGACCTGCCCAGGAAATGTGCCTTCTCCCCAGCGGTCATCCCAGACCGAAACCCAGAATATTGGGCACAGGGACTTGTACACACGCCGGCACCATTCACACACGCAGGCATCACCCCCTTTAGCAGTTGTTGCCTGCTCACAGCAGTGAAGTCCAGGTAGTTCTGCTATTAGTTCCTGGTCCAGTTCTGGTTGGGGAAGCGGCTGTCAAAAGGAGCAGTCCCATAGTTCTTGATTTTGGTCTTGATTTTGGTTTTCTGCCATGTTGCTGATTCCTAAAGATGCCCCTGAAGCAAGCTCAAGGTGACCTTGTCTTTTCATTTTGTTGGTGGGTTCCCTTGCTATGCAGAAACTTTTTGTTTGTTTTTTCTTTTGTTTCCCTTGCCCGAGGAGATATGTTTAAAAAATACTGCTAAGAGATATGTCCTAGATTTTACTGCCTATGTTTTACTTCTAGGATTTTTATGTTTCAGATCTTTCACTTAAGTCTTTAATCCGTTTTTAGTTTATTACTGTATATGATGTATATGATGGTCTAGTTTCATTTATTTTTTTGCATGTACCTGTCCAATTTTCCCACCACCACTTATTGAATAGACTGCCTTTATCATACTGCAAGGTTTTATTTTAAATTAGGATTGTTACCATTTATTGGTGCATAGGTTTTAAGAGATTAACCCCAACCCTGTTTTCCTCAGTTTGCCCGAATATTTTTGAAAGCATTTTTGCAGAATGAAGGGAATAGTGCATACCATCTGATAACAACATGCCTGCATTCTGGAATGGCTAGAGGCGTTCCGAGGAAACACCATCCATCTGCTTCTCAGTAAACATCCATTATTCTCAAAGATGCATCATTACAGAAGAGATGGTGGGCTTAAAAATAGAGGAAAGGCATCAGAATAGTCAGTGACAAAAACTTCCAGCTAAAGAGTTAAAGCTCCTGCCAGCATTGCAATGTTGTTAGCATAAGACAGTGGTCGGCAAACTCAATTAGTCAACAGAGCCAAATATCAACAGTACAATGATTGAAATTCCTTTTGAGAACCAAATTTTTTAAACTTAAACTTCTTCTAATGCCACTTCTTCAAAACAGACTCACCTGGGCCGTGGTATTTTGTGGAAGAGCCACACTCAAGGGGCCAAAGGGCCACATATGGCTCGAGAGCCGCAGTTTGCCAACCACGGGCATAAGACATTTTCTGAGAAAAGTCCAAGTGATTAACATAGACCCTGAGCGGGCTTCTGCCTCAGAAGCTTCCCTGGTCTCAACATCTGTTCTTTTGTGTAATTTATTAAATTCATTGGAGTGACATTGATTAATAAAATGATATAGGTCTGAAGTATATGATTCTATATATAATGTATCACCTGTATATTGTATTCTGTGTTCATGCCCAAAAGTCAAATCCTCTTTCATCACCATATGTTTTACCCCATTTACCCTTTACTACATCGTTCCCCGCAACCCCCTTCCCTCTGATAACTACCGTACTGCCTATATCTGTGTTTGTTTGCTTGCTTGTCTTATTTGTTGCTTTTAGTTCTATATCCCACATATGCATAAAATCCTAAGGTTCTTGGCTTATTTTTTCGTCTGAATTATTTTGCTTAGCATGATATTCTCAAGACCCATCCATGTCGTTGCAAATGGCAGTATTTCATCTTTTCTGATGGCTGAGTAGTAGTATTCCATTGTAGTGTATGTACCCCATCTTCTGTATCCAGTCATTTATCAAAGGACACTTCTGTTGTTTCCATGTCTACTAAATTTTTTTTTAAATATAGGGTGTCCCAAAAAGTATATACACACACTCGGAATAATTATAAAGGCAGTGTTCATTAATATACATTTCACTTTCAGAGTTGAGCTGTCAGCTGTTAAAGTGTGCATACATTTTCTGGGACACCCTGTCTTTATTTGTGAAGAGTACTCCTATGTTCACTGCAGCATTATTTATGGTGGCCAAGACATCCACCTCCAGTTTTAAACTCATAGTCCGATGTGGCCCAGACACCTGTAACCTCTGTGGGCTGCTCCTGGGCCCGCTGATTTTTGTTTGCTGACCCAGAATGCAGCCTTGACAGGGATGTTTGCAGCCTCTCTCAGGAGCACAGTCCTAACCCAAACCACATGTGCTTTTGTCTGTGTATGAAATCTACCATTTCCATGGCTTACAAAACCCTCTGTATTAAGAATTGATGTTTCAATATTGATGTTGTCCTTAGTCCCTTTCCTCATATCATTTCTGTGTCTGATTATAACATTTGTATTATGATTGTTATTCTGAAAATCCATTTCCTTTTTTTTTTTTTTTTTCAAAAATATCACTATCCCTTTTAGGGACAAAGAGACTTTGTCATTAGGAGAGAAGCCAGAACCTATTATTATTTTTTCAATCACTGTCTATTTTCCCCTGCTTAACCCCAAATCTTAAGTAGGCTATTCACTCTTTTTGGACTTTTTAAAATCAACTTTTGAAACCTCATGCAACAAATATTTTATATTTTGATACTTCTTTACTTAAATAATTTTTTTTTATTCTGGTGTAACATATTAAGTATTCTCAACATTACTAACATTGAAATATCCCTAAAAAAAACCTGTTTTCCTGATTTCTCTCTCAATCTAATTCCCTCCTACTTGCTATATATATATATATAAATATACATATATATACATATATATGTGTATATATATATTTATGTTTTGTTTTAAAGGTTTGGCAATTTAGAGGAGCAAGTCTACAAAATTGTATGAATCTTAAACAGCTCTGTTAGTATTCGTTGGTCATCCCTTTCTGAAAGTTTTTATCTCACAAAAACTGTTTTGTTCTATACACAAGACAGTTGTAATATCAAGTTTCAGACATTGATTGAACTAAATCACACTGGTCATCAAGTTAGTAATAAAAAAAGTAGACCATTTTCAACTGAAGGAAGATTAAATTTGTAATTGGAGTTTGTCCTGCCATGGTTTCAATCAAACAGATCATGATTATTAAAACTTACAAATGCACATTTATTAAATAAGTATTTCCAGGTAAGAGACATATTGACTGCAGCTAAATTCTGTAGCAAGGAAGCTTCACTCAACATTTTTGTACAAGGGGATGAATGACTGTTGACAGGATGGGACTTTAAGCCAGAGCAGAATATATACCTTGTTCAAAAGAACCAAATCCAGCAGATTGAGGGGACTAAAGTTGTATGTGAAAAAATTACATAAAAATGCAATGGTATGAACAACAAATATGTAACTATCAACAAGTGAATCTAAAACCAAAAGAATTAAAAAACCTGATGAACAATATTAACTAGTGAATATAATAGAATCAGAGGTATGGAAAGGGAGTGGACTGACAATTCTTGGGGAAAAGATGAGAGGGGGGTGCGGGAAGAGACTGAACATAAACTGTACACCTATGGATGAGGACAATGGGGGCTGGGGAAAAGGCAGAGGGTGGGGTGGGAACCTGGTGGAGGGGGGGAAAATGAGGAACTTTTGTAATAATATGAACAATAAAGATTTATTTTTTTTAAAAAAAAGTTAAAAAAATGCAATGGTAAGGAAAAGGGGACATCTGTATAATGCTTTCAACAATAAAGAAAAATTTTTTAATGTATGAAAGGGAAGGTGGGCTTAGATGGAGAGCTATTGGTTAAGATAAATGGTTTGGGAGAAAAGAAGCGATAGTTCCTTAGGAGTTCAGTATTGGGAAAAGAGAGATAGAGATAGAGAGGTAAGGAGATAGAGACACAGACAGACAGAAAGAGGAAAACTTTTTCAAAGAAGGATTACAAAATGGAAATAGAGCCAAGTATAGTTAAGAGGAGTATTTGGAATATCCAGGTATTTGCCGATGTTCTTAAAAGTTGAATATCTAATATTTGCCATACCTTGTTGCAAACATTTCATTACTCAGAAGGTTGAAGGAACCAGACTAACAGTCACAATTTATTGAGTACTCAGTTTCAAACACTATGCTGAGTGCTTTGTATATATGATCTCATTGAATTCTTTCAACAATCATGAAAAGTATTATCCCTAGTTTTATCGATTAAAAAAAAATCGAAGTCCAGAAATGTTAGGTAAATTACATGTGGTAAAACAGCAGGGAGGAAGAAGAGATAAATTTGAACCCCAAGAGCGTATTCACATGAGGAATCTATATACTTACATGTATGTTTCCCAGCACATTTCTTTAAGATGTGTCTGCACTCAGAAACTATGACAGAGAAGTAAATTATTCCTCCATCTTTTAAGAAATTGCAAAGCAGGCAGTTAAAAATAAAAACTAACACATGATTGGGCTGGATTACAAATATAGGTGTCCACGTCAAAAAAGGTGACCCCTTACTCTGTTCTGTGGTTAGGAGCATTTTGTCTAGTTCTGAGTGCTGTTCTCTGGGAACAAAAATTTATAGAGGAAGATAACAGTGATAATGACAATGAATGAAAATAGTAATAAAGAGAAGTTAGATTATATGCAAATTGCCATTGGCCATTCCAAATGCCTCCACGTGTATTAATTCCTGAATGTTCACAACCACCCTCAGGGGGAAAACCTGAAGTTAAAGCTACTTATTGTCATACAGGCAGTAATGGAGGGGGCCATTCTGTTAAGTCCTGAAATTTGTGTGTAGAGGGGGAACCATTTTTTTACAGTAATAGTATTACCCTAAGTAACACAGAGGATGGGGGAAGACCCATACGTGGACCTGGAGAGCATTGTACTAAGTGAAATAAATTATCAGTCAGAGAAAGATAAATATCACATGATCCCACTCATTCGTGGAATATTGAACAACATATAATGAACAACATAAACTGATGAAGAAAGAGATCCAGAGACAGAGAAGCATCGATCAGACAAGTCAAACCTCAGAGGGAAGGCGGGGGGAGGGTGGGGGTAAAGGGGAGAGATCAACCAAAGGACTTGTATGAATGCATATAAGCCTAACCAATGGATACACTAGGGAGTGAGGGCACGAGTGGGGTTAGGGAGCAATAGGTGGATAAGGACATATATGTAATACCTTAATCAATAAAGATAAAAATTAAGAAAAAGAAAGGACATTCTAACTAGTAACACTGTGGGTGTTACTAGTTAGAATGCCCTTTCAATTTAATTACACGGGTAGGTGTTTCAAGTCCAGAGACATTTTGAAACGTAATAAATATTTGAATTAAAAAACAGTGACTTTTGAATTAATATGTGGGAGTTAGACAAAGGAGAAGGGATGGAGATGCAAGACTGTTCTAAGCACATGGAACAGCAAGGTATCATGGTACCTTTGACAGTTTAAAAGGCAGGGTAGCCCAGTGGTTGAGCGCTGACCTGTGAATCAGGAGGTCAGGGTTAGATTCCCAGGTGGGGCTCATGTCAGGTTGCCAGCTTGATCCCCAGGAGGGGGCATGCCGGAGAGAGCTCATCAGTGATTCTCTCTCATCATTGATGTTTCTCTCTCCAACTCCCTTCGTGTGTTTTTTTGTTTGTTTTTTTTTGTTTGTTTTTAAAGTCAATACAAATATATTTTTTAAAATAAAAGGCAGGGTGACTGAAGTACATTTGGCAAGAGAGGAAACTGGAGCAGAAGGCAGGGGCTAGATGGCTGTGCTATCTTAAGCATTTGGGGTAATAATACCCTAAAGCTGTGGTATAAATTCTAGAAGGGGAGGAGAATGAGTCCTGCAGGCCTCCTGAAGGCAGGTGCTCTGTTGTATTCATCATAGTGTCCCGGACCCTAGCTCTCACATGATGCAGTTGAGAGATGACCATGTGTAAACATAGGTTGACTGGCTGAATGAACCCCTACATTTTATGGAACTTGTTTAAGGGTTTTAAGTTACCGTCGGTGTTACAGAACCATTAAAGTGAATTTTTGTGTGAGTGGCACAACACAAAACTGCACAACGTCCGTCCTTTCCTTTAAAAACAGCCGCGAGAATAAAGCCAAGCGAATTAATGACTTTATTTTGCAAGCAACTGCGCGTGCGCCGCTTCCCAGCGCAGCCCACCCTCCGGGACCCTCTCTAGCCAGAGAAGCAATCACCTCTGCGCATGCTCAGTCGGAGGCTGCACCGCTGGGAGGCGGGGTCGAAAGGAAAGGAAACGGTCAGTGCGCCTGCGTTGCTCCGTCGGGGCGTGACGTAAGCCGCGCAGGCGCGCAGGAACCCTTTTTGACCGTAAACATCCTGCCGATTTGAACCGAGAATTTGGGCGGCAGGAAGAGCCGCGGCGTAACGGCAGCCATCTTGTTTGTTTGAGTGAATCGGAAAGGAGGCGGCGGCTGCGGGGCGGCGGGGGCTGCTGCGAAGCTAGACCTCACAGGGGCGCCCCCCTTTCCCCACCCCTTCCCCGACCCTTTTCCCCTCCCCAGGCCACCCAGCCCGCCCGACTCCCGGCGGAGAGCAAGGTAAGGTCCTCGCCGACCCCTTCTTCCCCTCCCGCTCCCTCCCCCCACCCCTTCGCCACCGTCTCGCGGTTGGGGAGCTGGACCCTGGTTGGGGGGCGGGGGGGGTGGGAGTTGGGGGAAGGCGGCACTCGCCGCGCCGCGGGATGCAGGCCGGGCAGCCGCCCAGGGAGCCCCCGAGCGGCGCCGCCCGCCCGCCCAGGCCCCTGCGCCCCGGCCCGCCCCGGACTGGGACCCGCACGGCCCAGGCCCGCGTCGTCGGCCGTGGGCAACAACCAATTCCGGTCCGTTCGCGGGCCCCCAAAGCCCTTCCTTTGCGGGCTCCTTGGGGAGCGGCATCGCCCCAGGAAGCCTAGAGGCGCGGAGGGAGGAGAGTTTGAACGAGCGCGCTCTGGGCGCCGGGCCGCCGCCGCCGCCTCGGGGGGAAGATGGCTGGCGGGGCGGCCGCAGGGTCCGGGCGGCGCGGCGGGCCCGGCGGCCGCGGTATCAGCGCCGAGGGGCGGCCGCGGGCGGCGAGCTGGGCTGCGGGAGTCGGAGGGCGGCGGGAGGCTGCAGCTGCTCCTCCTCTCCCCCCCTATTT